CAACAAGTAGCTATCACCGAGTAATACAACTTTTATTTAGACTATGTCGACTAATTCTCACTTATTTTTTAATTTATATTTTTAGAGAGGCTTAGACTGTTAAAATCCGTACAAAAATCATATCTTTTTCATCCGACATTCGTTCTTGACTGTGTTTATATTAACGGACTTCTATTCATGAGATCTTCAACTCCAATGTACATTGTTTTAGCTAACACTCAACCGATTTACATTTCGATTTTTGTGTTGACGTTGCTGCGTTAAAACTTTGAAAAATCATAACTTCCTCATATGAAGTCATATTTGGATGTTTTTTATATGCACACTCTCTCTTTTACGATTACTATGACTTTTGTTTAGATTACTACTAATAAGCGACCTATCTCCGATTCATTATTTATGGCACACTTTGCCATATATGGTTGAACGCGAAACTTCAAAGGATTATATCTTCTTCATATGAAGTCGGATTTAAGTGCCCATCATATCCCCAAGATAGTCATTACGACTATTACATCTTTAGCTAAGATTATTTACCATATCTTAAATGTTTAGCCCGAATTTACGGGTGTTACACTTTGTTTCTTAACTTTATATTTGAAAACTTCAACAAAGGTGTCACAATTATGTTTTAACATGTAGAATATAATTATAATGACTATATTTGTTAATAAAGTTGATTTGTTATCTAGTGCTAAATCTTGAACATTTATTAGAAAAGAAGTCACACATTACAGTGTAAAGTTCCTTAATAATTATTTTCTATATAGTTTAGTGAAAATATCATTAGGAATCTCTTATATATAAATAAGATTCACATATATCAGATAAACTAGATTATTTGCCTTCAAATGTATTCTTTTTGAAGTTGGAATATATGTATTTCATTTCTAAAATAAAGATAACAATGTCTTAGATAAGTTTGATTCAAAACAAGTTTAAGTCAAAAAGGGTTTGTATATAGAACTTGTTATTCATAAAACATTGATATTTACTTTTTAATTCCTATTAAGAGATATAGTCTCATAAACAAAATTTTAATCATTACAGAATATGAAGTGATTGTTATGAAAAACAATTTAAGTAAATAATCAAATTTTAATAAATTAATTGAGACATGCATTTAGATAGGCTAAATTAAAACACATATTGTTCCAAAACAAATATTGTTTATAATACAAGTACATTATGTCCTGAGCATAATTAATAAACTAAACTCCGAGAGTACAGTTCTAACTTGATTGTGCTAAGCTGGTTACTCTTATGTAATATATGCATGCCATTTACAAATATTAGATTAACATTAAGTACCAAATACTTGAGTGTTATATGAAAAGTATAAGTTCTATCTAGTAGATACCTGAAGTACTAGTCTCTCCATATTTTCTTCTCAGATAAGTGAGACAGTTCCTCTTCCAATGTCTTGTTTCTCTATAAAAGAAACATGATCTATCTATGTGAGCCTTCTTGGACTTATTGGGCTTGAAGGTGTCATTTCCATGATTTAAAGGCCTCTTAGAGCACACATGATAACTCTCTTCAACCTTGCATTATTCATGTGTTTGATATGGTTCAAACCAAATCGAAATCTTTGCTCAACCCGACGAAACATATAAAATGCTTCTAATCCTTCTAGTTTCGTCCTTATGTCAGGAATAACCGAATACAATATCATTTAAAACACATTTAGAATTATTGTAATGCTTCCACCAAGCATTATGTTCAGTTTTATGGGTAATATCAGGATTTTTAGGAATAGGGCCGTCAAGAATGTACAATTTATTATCTTTCTTGAGATTGTCTTTCAAGACACAAATCCATTGGATAATATTGTATCCATCGAATGTTATATGTTCATGTAGATCTCTAAGATTAAAGTGATGCATGGTAACAATATTGGATTTTGTTCTCATCTACAAATTTTTTTAACAAAATTCATTTAGTATTTTCAACATTTAACTCTTTAATAATTAATATCATTTTAGTTTCTAGAAACATCAATTATAAAATATCTACTCATTTCGGCTAAATGATTTTTATAAAGTTACTTTGGATTTTAAAATTAGTTTTCTTATCATCCAATGCATTTATTCGATAGATACATAATTGAAAAATGACTTAGGAGGGTAACAATCTCTTGCTTTTGTTTATATTTTGTTATTTTTTTTATACATAATTTACCATTTAACTTGTTGGTGTTCACAAAATACCATTATGACATGTTATTGTAGGTTTTCGGTGATTTTCTCATCTCCGACGACTCTCCCGTCATCTTCTTTGATGAGTCTTCGATCAGATGAGTTTTTTTGGTGACTTCGTCGCAGTCAAAAATCTGACATTGATGTACTTCAACCCCATAAATTGAAGTTCACCCACTTTCCAGATCACTAAACCTTCAAAGACACAAGCACTCCAAATCAATTTCATCAATGGAGTGATAAATTTGAAAAACAAGCAACTATGGATATGAAATCGAATGGACGGACAAGAATATATATGCGTTTAAAACTGAATCAAGAAAACAAGCAGATGTGTGTGTTTGTCTGGGATCTAAAAAACCCACATCCGTTGAACATCTTCATCATGTTCATCATCCAAAAACCCATAAACTTTGTTCATTTTCATCGTCCAACAAAACCCTAAATCTTGTTTGCATTTGAGAAATCAAAACCCACATTTTCCATATCCAAGACCGAGTCACTTCAAAACCCTATTCACTTCAAGCTTCAATGTGTACATGTATTCTTGTGAGTTCTACACGCTTCATTCGCTTCAAGCTTTTAAATCCAAAATATATTCAAAACCCAAGATTTATTTAGAGTTCTTAAACTAGAATCCGGATTTCTTATGTGTTTGTGTGTATTATTTTGCTCTTGAATGTACGTTGTTCTTGAATGTGTTCCGAATTCATATGTTCATGTGTATGAGATTCTTGTGTGTGTGTTGTTGTGTTCTTAAGGTACAAAACTTGGAAAAAAATTGACGTTTGTTCAAATTTGATCCATAACCCGGAAAATAGTATATTCAAAAGATTGTGTGCTTTCATGAGAGAGAGAGAGAGAGAGAGAGAGAGAGAGTGTGTTCATCTTGACTAAGAAATTCAAAGATGGTCAGGAAACTCAAAGATTGCCGGAAAGCTCATGTATGGCCGGAGGCTAGTCGGAGATATCAAAGTTGTTGGAACCGCTAAATCCAGTCATAATGACATTTTTTAAAACACTAGAAAAAAGTTCAATGATAAATTATGTATAAAATAACTAAACGTGAACAAAAATGACAATTTGTTACCATCGTAAGTAATTATACAATGCATATTAAAAAAAAAGTGTTTAGAAACGTAGCCTCGTCACCTTTTAAAAACAGTACTATAAAAGAAATAAATGGATCATTTAAGAGGAATTGATAGATAACCAAATATTATTCAAAGTCCCATAATCGAATTGTATAATTGAGGTGTGTATGAATTTACAAAACTACCCCTATTAACAATTACATTGTTTATTTGGATTACCGGCCACGTGGATTTTAGAATTTTAGATTTATTTAAAATAAAAACTTCGTTTACAACGTTTCTAAGCATTAGTTTTATACATTTTTTTTGTCCGAAGCATTAGTTTTATACATTTTTGCTTCATTTTTTGTACATTGGTCTGGCGAGTGTTGTACAATATTTTTCTAGATTTTAATTGATTAGGATAGAACATTCTTTTGTCATATTTGAATCTTAAATCCTCCTTGCAAACGTACATTTTCTTGATGAAACTTAATACCAATTTAAGCATCCAACCACGACCTTATATGAATGAATGACATTGTACGTTCGTACTTTGCCTTTTTGTCATTGATGATAATCAATCATTTTGGACATGCCTCTAGTTTCTATACATATTTCAAGCCTTAAAATTTACATCCATTTGAATACGTATTTGGAGACTTTTTTTACCCTTAATGACAATGTATTATGTATACTAAAACACCTAAGCGTTATACTTTCCAATTAAATCTTCATGACATATAAATCCATTTTTCAAATCAAATAATAATATAATATGAAATCCACCTATTAATGCTCAGTACAAAAATATCATATCGGTTCTTCGTTTTGATTTCCATGCACATACTTCTACGATAAGATAGGCGCAACTTAAGCACAATCTTCGAATACACAGTGTACAACCATTTAATGCACACCCTTTTACGATTTTATTCATAAATATTCATGTTAAATCACTAATAGTGTGTACATGAAAAGATAAAATTTTGCTTGTATAGATTCCAGACAAAACATCAACAATTTTTTGAATCGTGATCTTTCCTATAATACCATATATGAAGATGTATAGATTATTTTTATTTAATTTAAATTGATTTGAATATGAATGACACTTAAAATGTAGACTATCTTTTTATATTGCCTTCTGTCTCATCCTTTCATCCCAAATACAACATAATTAAATTAAGTTTGATTAAACACCCCAACTCCCCAAGTGAAGTCACAGGGAGGAACATAAACATGTATCAACACGGACTACTCAACCATCTGGGCCCAAGATACAACCGTGGCCCAACTCAACAACACCCCACAAATCCACACAATCCGCATGGCACATGGGGTAGGGACTAGGGTGCACACTTTCCATCAACGTTTAAAACTTGTCTGCAACACACGATTTAGGTGTTTAAGGCCTCCCAACTTATTCTCTTTACAGATATTTTAAAATATGCAAAACTCAATCCAAACCAATAAAGCCAAACTATGACTTAATCAAGGTTAAGTTTGATTCAGTTTTATGTTATATACTCTATTTTTTTAAACGCTTTTCCATTTAATTCTCAATTACTTTTACCTCAAAAAACGGACAAGGTCATCTTAGGGAGACATGCACAAATAGGTAAATTGCACACTTGGTCCCTATCTTTTTTACACTTGGATGGTTTTGGGGTTCCATGGCCACCAACATTCAACTTTTAAATGTCATAAAATATATTTACCATTCAGAAAACTCTCCAACTCTCAAGTTTTTAAACGCCTTAAGCAACCACCAACATTCATTCTTACAAAACCATTGCCCCATGAACATAACAACATACAACAACAAGACTAGCAAGCACCTCAAAATCCTAACATCTTTTAAAAGCTTCAAACTACAAATTAATCTCCATTCTACTTCATGCCTCTACCATATCTTAATTAAGTTGACTATATTTACCTTTAATGAATTCTTAAAGTCCTCACATCACATCCTTCGTCATCTTCAAAGGAAAAACAGCCTACACAACAAGTTGAAATCATCTATATATATATATATATATATATATATATATATATATATATATATATATATATATATCTATCTACTTTTACACTTGTATTAATGAAGTAAAATAAATATCGTTTGGTAAAAGCTAGATGACATAAAAGGGTATATTTGGAAAACCTTTGGTCAGCAAGGATGGCAGAGAGAGTTGTGGTCTGCATAGGTGGCTTTGAATTTAGCTAAAGCGGTTAGGGGTGTTGGGTGGTCTGACCGGAGGTGGTGAGCAGGTGGTGCTCCTGCTTGACTGCTCATTAATCTGTTGACTGTTTATGTAAACATCAAACGTTCCACCACTGCATGCTCCTCCTTTTCTCTTGCTCTTAAACCTTTAACTAACAGATATGTCAGAAAAATATGACGGATTTACCCATGTACAGAATTCAAGATATTACCTATCTTTCCGCTTCTCTAGATATCTTTGAACCGATGCTTTTCTGCTTGCCGAACCTTCACCTTTCAAAATTTAATCACAAAATTGTCAATTTTGGTAATTTTGTATTATTGTAAAAAATCTGTATATTTATTTACCAGAGATTTCTTCACGCGATATGCTGCTTTCCTCTTTGTGCAATCGATAGTTATCACTCATTCTCACTGCATCAGTCAACTTAACTTAGTAATACTACTTCTTGTTTCAGCATTATTAGGGTGAAATACATACTTTTTTTTTTGTACCTGTTTGCAAGATTGGCAGATTGATGTTTGGAGGTTGTTGCAACATGTTTCCATCAACTGGATCTTCATGAGGAAACTGAAGAGGGCTTGCAGCAAGCTGCAATAACGCACGTGCCTGAAATGAAATTACTCAGTTACTGACATTCACATTAATAATTAATAATTAATTACAAGCTGAATTTGGCATAATAACATATTATATACCTTATCAACTGGGATATCATCATACACATTCACCTTCCCACTATAAAATATTGTCATCTGTCCTTTTGCCTCTTCTATCACACCACCAATCCTGAAAAATTCAATTATAACTTTACTCATTTTCTCATACATTTTAAGTAACTTTGTCTTGCAGTTTTGACTAATATATGAATAAATACAGGGTATATAAGCTTAGCGTATGAGTTAAGAGGCTTTAAATGTGTACAAAAATTCCATTTTATCTCACAGGTCAATCTTACGATTTATGTGAGGGTTTGTAAGCCGGATTTGAGCAGTTGATTGTTCAGGCATCAATAAAGATGGAAAACAATTATAGATGTATCTTCCGGAAATGCTAATGTACAAAGCACTTTATAGTTTATAGTTGGAAAAGTCATAAATAGGGTAAATAAAAAACGGCAACACTAACATATTAGGTCAACTGTTACTTCCTTTCAATAGTAATGGGCCACACTTAGAAAAAGGGTAACTGTTTGTCAGATGACACCAAATATAACATCCCTATTAGAGCCACTATGGTGTAGAGAACTAATTGGCTGAAGAGTTTTATTCAACCTACTCCCACCTAGTTTGAGATAAAGTCATAAAGTATTCGATTAGTTGATGACTTGATGTGATTGTACATGCAAGAACCTTATATTATGATGTTTATCATCAGTTAGTTAAGAGCTTGTTATGTGAAGTTTTTAACTTCCATCACATACAATAAGCCAAACTATAGGTAGTGGATATCCTGAGAAGGAGATTGAATAACACCTTCTTGAAGTCTCTATAGAACATTAAGGATATACAACCTCAGTTAAAGTTAAACAACTTGATTCTCTAAACTACATTTCTATCATTAATTTAACATTGCTAAGACTAACCAATAATCATGTAGGTTAAAAAAAATACAAAATACTATAAAAAGATGCAGGCTTTACCAATGTATATGTAACAGTCCCCACCCCAAACTTGTAATAGGCTAATCCACATTCTTATATGCATCATCAACCAAAATGTAATATATATGAAAGAAACAATACAAATTATACAAGAAAGTCATGTTTGGGGAGTAATGATGTCGAGTTTAAACCAAATTCATTTAGAATGACAATGGGCCAAAGAGAAAAAGGCTTTGCTATCAAATTAGGGCATCAGTCATGAAACATCTATACTCATCAAATCAGATAGCGATAAAATGATTTGAGAGGTTACCCAGGAGGAGTAGAATCATTATCACCCAAAAAATCAGACTTCTCTGTATCATTGCGGTGACCTGGAACTGATTCTTCCGCTGAAAGAGAGATCTCCGTATCCGCACTTGTTCCATTTTGGACCTACATTTGATAGTTTTATATAATTAATCAAAGTTAGCAGGTAACACAGTAAAGTAATCGTGGATCAAATAGTAATATAATATACAAAAGCATAAAAGTATAAGCATGTCAGTAACTTTGTTAACAATATTATATAAGCATTCACGATTTATTTAAAAAATAATTAGGAAAACGAGTGGAGATAATGATATCGGTGAAACGTACACGAGTGGTTGGGGTTTGTTGTTGCCGTGAAGTAATGTAGAGCTTCCGGCTACCATCTCCGGATTCCGGTGCCGGTTCAAGCAACGCTTTTAGCATAATTACTTGCTGGATCGCCTGCGATTTGTTCCACGACGGCCGTCTCATCCCTGTACGTACATCAAATAAGCAAAATTCAAACACAAACGCAGAAAACGCCTCCAAGAAACGAAAAGAACAAGCGTCGCGATGTGCACCTTTTTGCTTGAGATACCGGCGGCAGTCTTCGCGAGTGAGCTGAGAAATGTCGTCTTCAGTCAGCTGATGAAGTGGTTTATCAAGCGCTGACAAGGCCGAGGTGGAGAACGGTGGCTCCTCCGTTGACATGGTGGGATTTTGACAAAAGTAACCGAAATTAGATCAAAACCAGAGATTCAATTTTGAAGAATTTTGCCCCAATTTCATATTTTTATGTATGAGAAATTTGGGGGAGAAGAGAAGTGTGCGTGTTTGTCGTTTGAGTTTGGGACATTTTAGCCGCCGCGTCGATTTATAAGGGCTTTTTCTTTAAGCTCGCCATCCAATGGGGAGGCCGCAACTTGCCACCCCATAATGCCACGTACTCCATCTACCTTCTATTTCTATTTCACTTTTTCTCTCAAAATTTCTTTTACATTTTGCTTCAAAAACTTCCTAACTTATAAAAACTTCCTAACTTATAAAAAGGATAAAAATTGAGTTAGGCTGAGTGGTGTAGTAATGTGGACGTGTATGCCGTCGCCATTCTACCAGGACTTTAATGTCGACAGCAAACACCGTCCCTCGATAACTACATTACATTTTTTTGTAGGTATCTTTAGGTGGCGATATATCTATACCGCTTAAATTCAAATGACAATAACACTCTATACCTTGATGCACAACTATTAAAGTCATAGATACAAACAAAATTTACAAATGTTTGAGGCATTAGATTACACCACATAGTTATATCAACATAAAAATGCATTGAGTGGATATGACATTAAATGCAGAAATATTGTTAGACACCACACCCGTTAGTTTTGAAAGTTTTAAATTAGATATAAAAAAACTTTAAAGAAGAATCGGTTAAATAATTGTTTTGAAACCAACCTCGTTAATAAGTGTTTGTTCATGTTTTTCGCACATAAATAAGAACCTGATACAAAACCTTATTGTATTCGTAAAATCTTACCGAATCTTGTGTTTAACTGGTTGAGTTTAGTTTTAAACCGACGAGACCATGAATGAACGTATGTGGTGTTGAGTATACACATAATACTCTAAGAAATTTATTATAGTATTTGCTATGTAAACAATATAAATCGAAAATATTTATTATCAGGGTATATTTTCTAAAGATAAATCGATCACAACGGGCGTACCCTTATTAGAAATATGGGGTTTTGAATTTTTAATATCATTGGTTTTGAATCGACTTTTGGAAATTGTATGAAAAACACCATGTAAGTAAAAAAAAATTGGTTTTGGTATTATAGTTTTTTGTTCTAAATTGAAAATCACATTTTACAATTTTGTTCAAACGTTGAACATTTTAGTGGGACCTTCCAGTTACCGATTATCATGCAAGGTTGGAATTGGCTGTTAACATGGCACCAAAGTTACTACATCATCAATTGTGTTTGATTTTAATAATTCATTAGTATTTTTCTTTTCAAATCGAACAACTTCATGCCATTGTTTGTGGACATCGTGAACTTGTGATTCTCCCAAAAATAATGTCACCACAATAAACTTATTCAAGCAAAAATATTCCAGGAAATCTGCTCTTATACGTATCGAACATATTCATCACATCGATTTAAATGCTTCGAGGTTCTTGGGAGTGAAAATTTTAGGGAAAGAATCCATTATGTTATGTTCTAAAGTTGGGGTTTAGATCGGATAATATAGTCAAGAATTCCATAATTACTTATTACTTCAAACATGTAAACATTGATAATATACATACATTTTCGATCTTTTGCCTGAGATGTATTTGATTTGACCTTGGTGTTTTGCATGACACAAATTTAACCTTGGTATTTACAATCTAATCTTAAGTTATTAGATGAACAAAAAAAGACAACATGGTACAAGGGATGATCTAGGTTTAAATCATTAAAGAATTTAGATTGTTGGATACACGTGAAGCCACCATGGATATGGGACAGCAACAACATCCAACTAGAGATGAAACATATTGGATTAGGTGTCTAAGACAATAACTAAATTGGTATATACTTGAATTAAAAGCAAAGTTCCTTTGGGTTGCCCTCAAAACTAGTAATTAACATAATGACTTTTGGAAAGAGATGTTAATTTATTGGTTTATTATAAGATTAATTAATTAGAAATAAATAATTTATTGATATATTATGAGTTTAATATATTAATTGGAAATAATATTATTTAATTGATAATTGATCATGAATTAACTGGAATTAATTTTGAGATTAATTGGATAATTTAAAAGTGCAAGGACCAAAGTTGTCATTGTTTAATAGTTGAACAAGAGAAACATTCTAGAATAATCTAGGGATGAGCGAAAATTTGAAGCCTTATTACGTTTCTAGATTAATCTTCAATGATAAGTAGGAGTGTGGATAATTACCTAATTTGAGATATTAGTATTATATTCAAATTCAGGTTATCCAGGGTTTCCTTGTTCAGCTATATAAGCAGCCTCAGGGCTCATAATTTCGGCTACTCCTCCTCAAGAAGAGAAAGTTGAAAATCACCTCTTCCCTCCTCTCTCCTCTCAAGTCTTCATTTGCTAGGGTTTGGGTACAAACCATTAGATATACGAGATTTATGGTGCTTGATTTTTGAAGCTTGTTCAATAAGGAATTGTTTGATTATTTACTACAATAATCAAAAAGTATGTAAACCAACGAATTTCGAAAATAGTAGAGTATTCCTAGGGTTCTTGATGTTCAATTGTTTGTTGCAATCAATAGAGAAAACTTAGATCTAATAGGTTGCATGTGAAGTTAGGGTTAAGTTTTTCCGCCACATATTTTTTTTATAACCTATAAAACCTATCAGTGGTATCAGAGCCATTGTTTTCAATTGATCTTGCATAATGTTAAATATATCAAAATTAGGGTTTATAGAAATTAAACCCTAAAGGAGACATTTTTCGAAAATTGCTAGGGTTCTTGAAACCCTAGCCTCCACCCTTAGATTTTTCAAAATTTGCTAGGGTTCTTGAAACCCTAGCCTCCTTGACCTTTTTTGAAAATTAGGGAGCCATTTTAGGGTTTATCTAGTTTCCTTAATTGTTATTTTAAAAGCCTTAAAATTTGAATAATTAAAACCTGATAAGCTGAAACCCTATTTTCGAAAATTAGGGGGTTTGGATTAGGATTAAATTTGAATTATTTTATTAATTGGTTAGTTGTAAATAACTATTTAACCCATAATAATTTAATTAATTTAATTAATTGGTTAATTAAAATATAAAGATAAATCATAAATGGTTTAATATTAATTATTAAAAGACTTAATTTAAATAATTAATATTTAAACCTCATATTTTGAAAAGTTTAAAATATACCTTATATATTATTATTAAAAGTTAATTACTATATGTATAAGTCAAGTTAGTCAAATCGCTAGTACGCATCATTCACGAAACCATGCTATAAAATTGGTATAAGGAAGCAGCCTATAAAATGGTCGTTGAATAGGTGTCCACTCTCACCCACCGCTCTCCTGTGTGGTGGAGGGTTTGTTAGCCAAACATGTTTGATAGAACATAATCTCATTAATAAGTATAATAATTGTAACACCCCGTTTCGAAGACAAACCCTAAAATCCGAAGATGTGTTTTAAGTATTAATTTATTCCGATATATGTATATATTTAAATAAAGAGTTTAGTGAAAAAGTGTGTAATTGGCATTATGATTTGTTTTGGAGGTCTAAAGAATGCTTTCGGGGTTCGTAGTGTAAAGAATATTTTTGAACATATGGCTAAAGGATAATCAATTGGGCTCGTTTTGTAGTTTTTGGACTTATATTGAAAATATTTTGCAGAGGAGGGCCTATTTGGGTAAATTTGGATTTAATTCGAAAGAAAAAGAGAAGGAAGGGCTGAATATGTCATAAGTTAGATTTTTTTTTTTTGTGTGTGGGGGGGGCTAAGTGTAATTCTGGGATTAAAAGGGTATTTCCGGATTACTTTTGCAAAAGATTCTTAAAGCGGAGGGGTGTTTGGTAAATATTGGATGCATGTTGAAAGAAATTGATATGGAAGGGCTGAAATTATAAATATGGGAGAAGTTGCAAAGTGATCGGGCATATAACCCGTCACCTTGTCCTGAAACCCTAACCCTAAGAGACTCCTTCAGCCGCCACCCCCCTTCCTTGACGATTTCCGGCGCCACCTCCTTACCCGTTGAAGCCGGAGCACCCGTTGTCAACCACCGAGAAGCCACTGGTTCCGTTCTGCTGCCAATGAAGACGAAGAGTCGTCGCCCGTCGTTGATTCAGTCGTGAAGGTTGTTGTTGCTCGTGTTGGATCGCGCCTCTTCTCTGTCACCTTCTTTCCACAGTGCAGCGCCGCCGACCGCTAGCGTTGCTGTCGTTTGCAAGCTCAAATCGGCGTCTCTTCATCGGTGCTACGTCCCAACTCCTTCTGCCGCTGTTGCTGCCCCCTATTCCATGTCGCCACCATCGCCATACGCCACCAGGTGGGTGGTCGTGTTCAGCTTTCAAACAAAGACATGCATATTTCAGTTTGTGGGCATTTGTTGCTTGGCCGGACTTCATGAGAAAAGCCCCCACCCACCACCGTGAGGTGGTGGCTGTCACCTTCTACCACCGCCTGCCACCACGAGGGTGGTTGTGGGTGTGTGTTTATTATGTATTTAGGTATGTTTTGGTGTAATATTGTATGTACATTGTATGGATGGATTATTCAAGGAAAACAACCCGTCACCACCGTAAGGTGGTGCTTGCCACCTCACGCCGCCATTCTGCCACCACCAGCCGCCACCTTGGGTGCCTGTGTGCTTTTGTGTGTGTGTAATTGTTATTTTGGGATGCTTGGACATATTTCGCCAAAAATCATAACCACCACCACGAGGTGGTGGCCGCCGCCGTGAGCCGTCGTTGACCACCACTACCCGAGGCGGTAGTGGGTGGTGCCCGACTTATTTAACCCTAATTGACCTAATGAAGCCATAATTGACCTAAAAACCTAACCATTTGACTACTGGGCACGCGATTGGGTTGGAAACCCTAATTAGGGTTTAGAAAACCCTAATTTTGGATTTGTTGGTTTGGACTTATCGGGACCCGCATTTGGCCATTGGAATTGAATTATAAATTACACCCGATCACTCCGTATGATTTACCTAGTAGAATGATGGACTTAATGGATTAAGTCCTTAGTGGGTTAAGTAAGAACACTTAACCCTAATCGTCATTTTATGTGAAAACCTTAATTTTGTTTAGGTCTTGAGTTGGGCCTTTCTGTTGGGCTTTGGTGATTGGGC